CTCCACAGTGCCTGCGCTGACATATCCAACCATTTTTGCCAGACGCACAGCATCCTGAAAAAAAAAAAACACGTGCCGTGCGCAAATTAGAAATAATTTTAGATCACATCGCAAGCACAATCACTGAAAAAATATCTTAAGTGTTCGAAAATCAGAGTACTTTTTTTTTCTCCTCTCAAAATGCTGCATGAGTGTGCTCGCCGACTACACTTTCGAGGTGCGAAGAAGGCAAGTGCTGTACAAGGAATCAGCAATAAATTAGGTTGAAATTAGCCAACCGCTTCCATGCTTCGTTGCACAACTAAGGGTGCAGCGATCGCCGGCGCCTCCTCAATGATCTTCTGACATCGCCGCTGAACAGTACAGTCGCGTGTTCGCAAAGCAATCACTTCACCGTACATATCGCCCAGAAGTTGCACCTCGATATGTCGAGCACCTTCCAAACAGTGCATCAGGAATATATGCCCGCCAGCTACCTCCGCCTGAAGCAACACATCGCAGAAGCCAATCACGCATTTCATTGCATCTACTCAGTCTAAGCTCCAAAACGCACTAGCTGTTCGTAATGCAGCTAAGCAGAACTAGGGCTGATTAGAGTGCTGCTTTTTCAGTGATTTTCAAAGTCTGACTGCACTAACAAGTAATTACAAGAAGCAACGACCAGTGAATCCTCGCTCCTCCGAAATTTTCCGAAGGAAAAAGAAGTGCGGTAAAATTCAAAATCTCAATCCCTCCAGTCTGACAGAAAAATTTCGTGTTATTTGGTTGACTGCTCATGCAAATTTACTATTAATTACTAAGTGTCTAGTGTCGTGGACGAAGGCACCTTCTACAGAAAGGGTAAGCAGACCGGGAAGGAATTGAATCACACATCTCCGCATTTGAACGCAACTTGTTAGACCACTCTGCCACCGGTTCACGCCCCTCAGAAACAGCCTGGGAGCAATTCTACTGTGCGCATCTGCCCCAAATAAAGAATACACGTTTTTCCTGCCTACCTACCCTTAAACACTTGCTCCCAGCACTTTTCGTATTTTCTGTAATATTTTCTACACTTATCTTAATCATACGCTGCCATTGTTTAACTTGTACATAACAAGATAAACTCATAAATAAGCTTGTTTACTATTTACTTTACTATTTTTTTTTTCAACAATACGGAAAACTAAGGACAAAAATACCTGCACTCTCCGAAAATTAACTTCGAATTCGGATTCATTTCGGACCAAACGAATTCCTTTACCACCGCCGCCTTCTGACGCTTTGATCATTACCGGATAGGGAATTTTTTTTTCCTAAACATCGCAATCTACTAAGTTTTTCTTTTTTCTCACCATCAAACGATTTTCTAAAAAAGAAACAAAGTACAAAATATTTTTTACTTAAGACTTTTCCTTAGGCGCTAATTTCCGATCGTTTCTTTTTTCTGTGTAGGAAATTACGAAATCCATAAAGTCACAAACAGAGACTTTTCGATCGGACAAAAAATTTTTAACATTAAACGAAAGTTCAATTTGCAGATGGAGAGTTGTAACTTCAGCAACGTGAATATGGAGGAAAATTACATACATTTAGAACCTGTATTGCCTCTTCGTGATCATTAA